TATATATATATATATATATATATATATATATATATATATATATATATATTAATCATAAAATATATATATATATTTCCACTTTATAAATGTAAAAATTTTAAAATACTTATTGTAACGTTTGATATCGTTTTTTCAGCAAAAAAAATATGTAATTTTAATGAAATATATCTAGTACTTCTTTAAATAATGAATATTTCATTCATTTACACTATCTTCTTGTTTAATTAAATTACGAACATGAAAAAAAAAATATATATATATATATGTAAACAAATGATTTATATATAATTAATTGCATATTACAAAAAAAATATGTATAATTTATATAAAACAATATAAATAATATAATAGCACGAGTTTAATGATTTTAAATAATTTTATGCATATATATCATGTATGCATATATTTATATGTATATATATTTTTTATCAATTTATTAATTTATTGGTAATAAATATTAACACATATGTTAATACCAATCAATTTTTCGATCATTTAGAAGATATTTGTATTTATAATTTTTTATAAAAAGATTATGAAATAATTGAATAATTAAATTTAATATTGCATATATTTTCATGTTACATATTAATTATCAATTAGAATAACAAAATTTTCTTAATTTAATTAATTTATCAAATTTTCTATTATTATTTTTTTTATTTTTTCTTTTTAATATATAAATGAATATGCTAAGTCTTACTATAAATACAAAGATCTTTATTAGCATTATTATGACTAGTTACGAAAATTATCCACGAGATAACTGGCGTCTCGGTTTCCAGGTACTTGTCACTCGGAACGGAATGCATAGATGCGTTTCAAATAGTCGGGAGATTCCAGTACGCTATTTAGAGCAAGCTCGAAAGTATAGATGAAGAATATATTTAACGCTTAATAGCGTATATATCTAACCTTAATTATGATGACATGGGAATATCATTAGTTTTGCCATTATTTAAATTCTAATGAAAGTAATATGGCTTTTTTTACAAATTGTTTTAATTTGAAAATATTATAATGATCAACATGAATATTTCACGTTTTGCAATTACAACAATTAATTTTAACAATTATAAATATATATATATATAATATATATATATATATATTGCAATATGTTTTTATGCGAAATATTATTAAAAATATTATTTACTATTTAATTGAAAAAAATATAAATATCAGTATCCTAATTATTAAATAGTTAAGTATTAAATAGTTATTTTGAATCTAAATAATATATGTTATTCACTGGTTGACTATTGTTCAGAATTTATTTTTATTCTGTACTAAAGAAATAACACAAATAATATTTAAAAATGAAATTAAAATATTACATTAAATTTAGTATTATTTGTTAAAATAACTTTGTTAAAATAATTATTTTGTATTTTGTTAAACAATATTTGTTTTATATTAATAATTTTATATAAAATTATAATATTTAAAGAATATGAATTTAAAAAAAAAACAGCAGAACGTTCCTTGCATTGCTGTTCGTTCGTTGACTCACCTTGAACTGAACAGTAGATATATATATAATTTCAATAAAATATAGAAAAATTATATTCTCGATATATGAGTTTGTCAGTTTTGAATAATCTGTCACAAAGAAGTAAATAAATTTATTATAAACGCATAAAAGTTAAATACAGAACGTACAGAAAAATTGAAAATCCGAGGCAGATGCACCTTTCTGTCACCTGAAGTAAACACCTGTATACACTAAACTTAATCAAGTAATAGATCCACAAAAAATACACACAATAAATATCTTTGACACAGACAGGTACACCCGCACGTAAATTAGTTAAATGCACAATTTCAAATTTAAGACTATAAATGCATGGACACAATGATCTCTGGCAATTGCGAATAAACCAACGAAAGCACAACCGAATCGTAACACGAAAATGAACGAAACGATTAGTCGAGAGGAGCTATGGCAGGTACGCATGCGCAACGAAACAGGAATGTCGTGAATACACGAATACGTTTACTACACCTATATACACCACACTAAACATCACGGTCGTACCCGCAGGTACGAGAAAGCACCAGTGTTTCTCAACCTACGGAGTATAAATTTATTGAAAATTTAATTTAAATAAGACTATAGCTCTTTCTTCAATCTATTAATTTGTTGATTAATTTTTATAAATAAAACAATTTGTTTCAAATTAATGTTATCGCAAATAAGTTAGTGATATTTTGATGATTTAATTGATTCCAACAAAACACATATAGATATTTCTTTAAAAATAGTTGTTTTCAATATTCTTTTACGATGCTGTAATACCATCCGAATTTTTCTTATAAACTTCTTTATAAACTAGTTCTTGCATTTGCATTCTGAGTAACATTCTTTTGTCAGCAGGCAATGTTCTTATATGCGGTAAAAGACTCATAAGAAAATAATAATTATCATCAAAACGATTGCCTTCTAAAGGATCTACTGGAATACCAATATTAGTGTCATTGTCACCCATGAGCACCTGTTCAGGAGAAATATTTTGTAACATCATTTCGTTTTCAGTAAGATTATCGGAAACACTTTGAAATTCAAGATTGTCAAAATTTTCCTCAGGTTCTTGTTTCACATCTATATGATTAACAGCATCGATCTTTAATCCGTTATCGCTATTTATCGACAGTAGATGATTCGCAATCGTATTTCGATCTTCCATACTTCTGTTTGTTACCGACGAACCATTCTGTATCAAAGCCCCATCGCTCTCGCTTTCACTAGGTACCCGATCATCATCTTGACAAGAATTACTTCGTTCCCAAATAGGAGGACGAGGTAACATTTGTTCTTTTAAAAATTGTAAACTTTTGAAATGTATCCATACTGGCCTATTTCGATGAAATTTACTTTTGCGATAAACTTGATCCTTTTTTAATTCCGCTCGAAAAGTATCTCGCAAACCTTTCCATTTTGCTTTTAATACTGGTTCTGAAAAATGTGAATACGAAGTATTTTAACTATATCATTTATTTAATTAAGTAATTTATATGTTTAATACTTCATCAATTTAGTTAATTTAATAAGATTAATTGATTTCAATTGAATTATAAAATTATATTAATACATGCGCGCACACACGCTCGCACATACTATATTTTATTAAAGTATATGTATATTATATTTTATGATATACATACGCATATAAAATAATGTATAATATATAATAATGTAAAACATCATTTTTATAAAATATAATTATGAATTAAAATATAAATAACAAAAATTACAAATAATGGAAATAATTTATAAATAAATGCGATGAAAAATTTATTGACTGTTTGTACGCATGCGTCTTTAACTAACAAGTTTGTACTTACAGACAATTTAAATCTTTCTCAGTTTTAATACGGTAAACAATAATAAATTATAAGTTATCAGTTGTTCATAGAATAAAATGTTAGTGATATTAAGATTTATATATTAAATTAAAATTATAAATTGATTTAAAATACAATATAATCAATAATATATCACTATAAAAAAGTAAGGTTAACTAGATCACTATTCACGAATATGTGAATGTGTAATTCACAAATACATTAAAATATTATACAATGAAATCAAGTAATATTTGCATCATCAAAACATACATACATATTTTATGTATATATTTTTATATAATAATTAAAATAATTGTAATATAAAAAATTTTTCTTACATATGAAATTTTAAATATTTTATGCTATTATTATAAAATTTAAATCATTAAATAAATACATAATGAGTATATTAAAAATATTATTTTTTAATATTAAAAAAATAATTTAAATAATTTAATATTTTAATAATTCTTTTATTATATTATAATAATAACAATTTATGTTTAAGTATATAAGTTTTATTTTATTATAAATGAGACTAAAAATTTGTTAATAGAACGAATCATAAAAATGCGCGCGCGAATGAGATATATGAAAAACGATTTCAGCAATGCACCTACTGGGTAACTTGAATATCGATGCAATTTCCATCCAAACGCGGTTCGTCACCTCGCGATTATGATAAGAGATATGCCTTTGGTTCCAAAGCGCTGGTCGCTTATAAACTTCGGCAATTAACCGATTTGCATCCATCTTCACTTCGTCCCTCATTTTTACAAATTAAATGAAAAATTTTTTTCTATAATTTAAACAAAACAAAAAAGCACAGTATTAGTTTGTCAATCCGATAGGAACAAAGTATGGGCGAATACTAGCGCCGGGATAGCGATTAGCGCGCAGGACGCTCTTGGGTAACGATCGATTCGCATTTCGCCCTCATCTTGCCCTTGCTAGCGCGAATAACTTCATCTTTTCTTTCTTCTAACTTATCATTTGGATATTGATTACATTATAAATAAATTACAAAAATATATTTTAGTTAATGTATTTTTAACTTAATATTTTTAAATTATAAAAAAATAAGTATTTTTCATATTGATAATTGTTAAATATAAAGTTAAATATTTTTTTTAATTTAACAAAATAATTCATTAATATAAATAACAAAAGTTTTAGAAATAGAAAAAATACAGATGAAATATATATTTTAGATGTTGAATAATATAAAAGATCTTGAATTAATAGCACAAGGTGCTGAAGCACGTATATATAAAGGTACTTATTTAGGAAAATTAACATTAATCAAAGAAAGATTCAAAAAAAATATAGACATCCAGATTTAGATATGCGTCTCACAAAAGATCGAATAAAAGCCGAATGTCGTGCTATACTCCGTGCTAAAACTGCAGGTAAAACAATATGAATATCAATAATGTATTAAATTTATATTTTCTTTTTTCTAAAGAATTTTCTTTCTTTTTTTAAGGAATCACAACACCAGCTATTTATTTGATAAATTTAGAACGACGATGTATTTATATGGAATATATACAAAATGCAATAATATTAAAAGATTTTCTTGATAAAAGCGTTTTGAAAGAAGAAAATATTGATCATTTGTTAAATTTTATAGCACAAGGACTTGGAATACTTATTGCTAAATTACATTTGAAAAATATAATTCATGGGGATTTAACAACTTCCAACATTCTTTTAAAAAATATTGACAACAATTATATTGAAAAATATGATGGTATATAATTATAATTTATTACAATTAGTATTATTTTAATAATTTAATTTTTTTTCATTGTAGTTGCGAATAATTTTGTTATAATAGATTTTGGATTAGCTCGTATAGAATCGAGCATAGAAGATAAAGCAGTCGATTTATACGTTCTTGAACGATCATTATTAAGTGCACATTCAGAAATACCTTCATTATTCTCAAAAATATTTGATACTTATCAAATACATTATATAAATAAAAATCAATGTAAAGAAATTGTTTCTAAATATAAGGAAGTACAATCACGAGGACGAAAACGATTAATGATCGGTTAATTTCAATATATTTTTTATAAATATATTGGTATTTTATTAACATATTTTTTATAATTTATACATGATAAATATATCTTAAATAAATTATATTAAATGAAATTTGAAGTATACTATTTTTATTTAATATGTATAATTTGATATTAATTAGTTTTGTATTTATAATCATTTTTAGAAATATTAAAATAATGTATATTAAAATTATAAATTGATATTTTAAATTTATTTTTTATTTATATAATTTGTTAAAACTAATTTTTAAAGACCATTATTTGTTATAAATAATATATTCAAATATGAATATATTGTTATAATGTATATTAAATCTTATAAATATTGAGCAATATAA